TCAATAACTCTTTCTCTTTCTTTCACTTTCATCTCATAGTTCACATTGTCACTCGAGCCAATGCTCTAAGGATTTACTCATCTCATATACCTTCACAATTTGTAATTCAACTCGAGCCAACGCTCCACGGAGTTTAAAGATTACAATTTCTTTCACAAGATCTTTACAGCATATAGAAGTCATCAATTAAGCATGGAAGGTATAACAACAGCCAAACTATTTGCAAAATAAGGACTCACGGTCATGCTAGACACCAATGTATAGATACCCGTCACCATGCCTATACATCGTACTCAACAATTAGCAAGTTACAATTAAGACTCAACTCCTATTCCCTCAAGCTAGGGTTAAACCAAACACTTACCTCATTGCCTTGAACTCAACTCAAGCCTCAACTATGGCTTTACCCCGTAATTCCACCTCCAAGCAGCTCGAATCTAGCCACAAATTACTTAATTACATTAATAAACACTAAATGAATATATTTGAATGCATAAAAATGAATTTCTCAACGATTTTCCCAAAAAATCCAAAATCGCCCCCGGGCCCACGTGGTCAAAACCCGAGGTTCGAACCAAAACCCGGTTACCCATTCCCCCACGAACTCAAATATGCAATTTGTTTTAAAATCGGACCTCAAATTGAGGTCCAAATCCCCAATTGATAGAAAACCTAGGTTCTACCCAAAACCCTCAATTTCTCCCATGAAAATCATTGATTTTAAGTTGAAAATATGTTAAATGATGTTAATGATTGAAAGAGTTAAGTAAAAATCGACTTACAAATGATTTGGGATGAAACTTGTTCTTGAAAAATCGCCTAAGGAGTTGTATTTTTAAAGTGGGGTGAAAAATGGTCTAAAATTCGACTAAATATGAAAAATGCAGGTTGCAGATGAGGGAAATGCGAAGTTGGGTTCGCAATTGCAAACCCTGCAGGCTTGGGAAATGCGACATTACTGTTCGCATTTGCGAACTCAGGCCAACCAGGGGACCTTCGCATTTGCGAATTGGGCCTTGCATTTGCGAACCAGTGACCATCGCATTTGCGATGTTTGGCTTCGCATTTGCGAACCTTGGCCGGCCTAGGCTGGTTTCGCATTTTGCGATAGCTAGACCTTCGCATTTGAAAACTCTGGCTTCGCAAATGCGAATCCTGCAGATCAGCTGATACCAGATTTTTCCAAAATGAGAAATGCAATCCGACACCTATCCAAAACTCACCGGAGTCCTCGGGGCTCCAAACCAAATATGCACACAACCTCAATAACATCCTACGGACTTACTCGCGCGATCAAATCGCCAAAATAACATAAAAAATAACGAATCATACCTCAAAATCCCTAGTTTTTCTTCAAACTTCATAAACTTTCAAATTTAGAGTTTTAAGTCTGAAACACGTCAAACGACGTCCAAATTGAACCAAACTTCACAGAAAGCGCTTAAGTCATATATAAGACCTGTACCCGGCGCCGGAACCAAAATACAGGCCCGATACCACAGTCTTTTAATCAAATTTCATTTCCTATTTCCTTAATTATTTCAGAAAAACAATTTTACTCAAAAATTCATTTCTCGGGCTTGGAACCTCGGAATTCGATTCCGGGCATACGCCCGAGTCCCATATTTTTCTACGGACCCTCCGGGACCGTCAAATCACGGGTCCGGGTCCGTTTACCCAAAATGTTGACCGAAGTCAAATATGTTCATATTAATATCAAAATTTAGCATTTTTCACACAGAATTCATATTTAAGCTTTTCGGCTACGCGCCCGGACTGCACGCGCAAATCGAGGCAACCCTGAATAAGGTTTTCGAGGCCTCGGAAGCACGGAATGAATATGAAAACAGGTGATGACCCTTTGGGTCGTCACACAAAATAATAAAAGAAATCCCGGCAAGGGAACACAATTGAACAATTAAATCCCGGCAAGGGTACAACATCAATAATCTCAACATCCCGACAAGGGAAAATAATCAATAAACAACAATATCCCGGCAAGGGAACAATTTAAATACTCTTTTTACCACTTGAGCCAATGCTCCAAAGGGGTTCAACCATTTCATATACGTTCACAATTGAAATATAACTTGAGCCAATGCTCCTCGTTGTTCATAGGTCACAATTTCCTTTCACAAGCTTTTCACAACAAATAGGAATCATCACCAAGGCAAGAGAAATACAACGAAATCAAGATATTCACAATTTAAAGACTCACGGTCATGCTAGACACCAACGTATAGATACTCGTCACCATGCCTATACGTCGTACTCAACAAGAAGTAATTAGCAAATAAGACTCAACTCCTAGTCCCTCAGCTAGGGTTAGACCAAACACTTACCTCAATGCCTTGCACACCACTTAAGCCTCAAGTATAGCTTTACCCCGCGATTCCACCGCCAATTCGCTCGTATCTAATCACAAATTACTTAATTACATTAATAAACACTAAATGAATTAACCCCAATGCATGAAAATGAGTTTTCCCAAGTTTTACCCAAAAAGTCAAAAATCACCCCCGGGCCCACGTGGTCAAAACCCGAGGTTCGAACCAAAACCCGATTACCCATTCCCCCACGAACTCAAATATATAATTTATTTTGAAATCGGACCTCAAATTGAGGTCCAAATCCCCAATTTTTGAAAAACCCTCAGTTCTACCCAAAACACCCAATTTCCCCCATGAAAATCTTTGATTTTAAGTTGAAACCATGTTAAAAGATGATAAGTAGTGAAGAAAATAAGTTAGAAATCACTTACCAACGTTTTGGAGAAGAAAGGTTGTTTGAAAAATCCCCTGTTATGTTTTTAGGGTTTTGAAAAGTCAAAAATGACTGAAATTCCCGTTTATTTATACCCCCCTGAGACCCCCTGTGTGGACCGCATTAAATGGACCGCGGCCGCATAGTTACCCAAAGACCTGCAGTTCAGCACCCTGTGCGGACCGTACAAAGCCGACTGCGGCCGCACAGCCTTCACCGTGCCCCGCACAAAGGCGACCGCGGCCGCGCTGGCCCCTCCGCGGTCGCATGCGATTTCTCGCGGACCGCGTTAGAGGGTTCAGAGACCTGCAACATCTGATTTCCTAAGCTTAAGGCGTCCCGGAACCCACTCGAAACTCACCCGAGCCCTCGGAACTCAAACCCAAGTACACACACAACCTCATAAACATCCTTCGGACTTACTCGTGCGATCAAATCGCCAAAATAACATCATAAACATCGAATTAAACCTCAAAATTCAAGAATTCTTTCAAGCTTCATAAAACATCAATTTTTCCAATTTAAGTCCGAAACACGTCAAACGACGTCCGTTTTCAACCAAATTTCACAGAAATGACTTAAAGCACATATAAGACCTGTACCGGGCGCCGGAACCAAAATACGGGCCCGATACCAACACGTTCTAATCAAATATCATTTCAATTTTCCTTAACAATTTCAGAAAAACAATTTTACAAAAAAATTCATTTCTCGGGCTTGGGACCTCGGAATTCGATTCCGGGCATACGCCCAAGTCCCATATTTTTCTACGGACCTTCCGGGACCGTCAAATCACGGGTCCAGGTCAGTTTACCCAAAATGTTGACCAAAGTCAAATTTATTCATTTTAACATCAAAATTTAGCATTTTTCATAGAATTTCACATTTAAGCTTTCCGGCTACGCGCCCGGACTGTGCACGCAAATCAAGGCGACTCTAAATGAGGTTTCAAGGCCTCAAAATTGACTCAAACAACCCAAATTCAACTCGAAATTGACCCAAAGCCACTTCTGAAGTTCCAACAATTAAGAATCAAGCTAAGAGATGAACTTCAATACCTAATCTCAAAATTAATCTAAAAAATTTAAATGACACAATGTTTTTTAGAGTTTTCTACTGATTTTTGTTTGTTTTTGGTTTTTTGGAAGGGAATTAAGATCTGAAATTCAGATTTGAAGTTCTTTGAATTTGAAATTCAAATTTAAAAGATCAGCTTTGCAAAGATGGTGTTTTGGGGGAATTAGAAGCTGGAAATTTTTGGGAATTTTCAGAGTGACTCCCCCTTTTTTTTTAAATCAAGGTTCTAGGGCTGCCTTTTATAGGCAAGAAAGGGGGCAGAATGTTCTGGAAGTGTTTACTCATTTTTTCCCCTTTTATTTTCAGAAATTGCATATTAATCCTAAAGTTTTGACTTGTTTCTCAAGTTACTGCTTTCAAAATGCTGAAACTTACACTTAAAACCCCTTCTAGAAGGATCTAGGGTGTTTTCCTACCTATGTAATACCTATACTACCCTTATTTGAGTTCTAAAATTACAGAGCCTTAATAAACTGAGCCATTTCCAATGCCCAAACTACCCTTGAATAATCCTAAAATTACTAACCCTAGCTAAAATCTACCAGCTATGACCAAACAGCCTAAAATTAATCAAAATTAAACTAGAATGAAAGTATTATTAACACAAAATGATAAAAGATCCAACAAGACTTCCTAGAACTCAATTAACCATGCAGAAATAATGCAAGAACACATTTATTGAATTTAATGAAACTCAGAGTCGAAATTAGGCTTAAGGAAGAAATTAGTCTCAATTATACTAAAGGAAATCAGAAAAATTAGGACAGCAATTATAGAATATTGAATCAAAGCTCAGAACATGCTCAATCTTAAATTTTAAAATTCAAATCACACCTAGATTAATAAACGAACAAATTATGACTATTAAAAGAAAATCAAACACATCAGAAACTAAGAAGAATCCAGCTAAACTAACAATAAAGTGCTTGACCTAATTAGTACTAACAGAAACGAAAAGAAAACAAAAAAGAAGAATCAGATCAAAACTAAACAGGATTAAACTAAAAAAAATCAAAGGATTTAGGACACTTACTGGTTTGGACCAGCACATACTAGGGTTCTTCAAAACATGAGATTGAGATTTGGACGGATTCCAGTTGAGCTTTGGTCGAATTCGGACTGAAATTATCCTTAATCATGTGTTTCCATGAGAAACACAGAATCAAAGACTATTCCAGTTCAGAATCGAAAGGACTCCAATTTTAGGGTTTGAAGTCGAACTTCGATCTGAAATTCGAAGAGAGTCAGTGGTGTTTGAAACGTTTCAGCTAGGGATTGGGGATGAGGATTGTCAAGGGAGTGTAGGGTGTGAAGTTAGGATTATTTGGTGGTGGCGCCGCCGTGCACGGTAGTGGAGGCTCCTAGGGTTTGGAAGATTTGGGGTGTTTGGTTGGGATTTGGAGGAAAATAATGACGGATATGGGATGGGGAGATGAAGGAGATGACATGGTGAAAATTTGGGACGACTTGGATGTTGGCCGCCGGCGGAGACGATTTCCAGCCGGCGGCGAAGGTGGAGGGCAGCGGAGCAGTGGCGGAGACATGGTACGAGGAAGATAGTTATGTTTTAGGGTTTGTATATTTTTTCGGATAATTTTATGTAAAGGTAAAACTCAATTGTGGCCGTTGGATTAGATAAAATTGATGGCCAGGATTGTGTGACGCCAAACGGCGTCGTTTAGTTATAGGGGAACTGGACCGGGTATTTTTGGATTGGGTTTGGGCTATTTTGGCCAGATCTGGTTGGGTTCATTGGACTCGAATTGGCCCAAGACTTGTGGCCTGATTTACTCTTCTTTTATTTTGATTCAATTAGTCACTTTCTTTTTTATTAATTTCCTTTTCTTTTCTTTTCCCTTTTTTATCTATTTGTTTTGTTTATTTCTTTACAAAATTAAAACTAACAAAGCCTAATTGGACTCCCAAACCTAGACTAATTAATTTTCTAAAAAATAAACTAAATCCTAATTTGAAAGGAAACTAAACAAAAAGTGAAATTAAAAGAAAAAAAATGTAAAAGATTTGTTTTTTTTGTTATTTTTCTCTTATTTTAGTAATATTAATTAACTAGCAAAACTAAAATGTGAAGTCGAATTCTAAATGCAAATGCACTATTTTTGTACCTTTTTTATGAATTATGGCAACTAAAAATGCACACAAAAATGCAAACAAGACACAAAATCATGCAATTAATTCCTAGAAATTCAAATGATAAAGAAAAATCCTAATTCCAAGGAATTTATAGGAGTAATTTAAGCGTGGCAAAAATCACGTGCTCACAGCTGCCCCTCTTTGCTCGGAGACACGAAGGGTTTTCGGGCAAAGATAAATGAGCAATCATGAGAGATTTTTGCCTGCTTGACACTCCATGAGAAGCATTTTTTGAAAATCGTCTGACCGAACCCTGCTTCAAAGGTTGTCTACATATCCTTGGCTATAAAGGAATCAGGTCAGTGTAGTTCTGGAAAGTTTGGTAGCTGGGACTACCGGGAGCCGTGATTTCACTGCTGTTGCTGCTGCTACTACTTGCTGATGTCACGACCCTAGTTCACCAACCGTGAACATGTCATGACGGCACCTGGTCGCCATGACCAGGTAAGCCTAACATTTGCGGAAGTATATTAATTGCGAAAAAAATAGAGAAAAATCAAATCAAATATCTAAAAGAAACGGTACTGATTGCCGCTTGGCAAGTACAACTCAATATCACAAGTCTAAAACAATTCCCAAAACCCGGAAACTCACGGGCAACACAGGCTACAGAAGTGTATAGTAAAGGTTCCAAGCTCCAGAATTTCTAACAACCGAAAGAAGGAAAAACTAAGTACTAAAGATAGAATAAGAGGGAGACTCGTCGGTCTGCGGACGCAGCAGATCTACCTCGAAGTCTCCGTAGTCCTCCTGCCTCACTGATAGTGCGCCTGAGGGGAGGTACCTGAATGATCTGCACATGAAAAACATGCGCAGGAAGGGCATGAGTACACCACAGCGGTACTCAGTAAGTGCCAAGCCTAACCTCGGTTGGGTAGTGACGAGGAAGGTCAGGGCCCTACTGAGACAAAATATAATAATAATAATAATTTAACAGTACAAAAATCTGACTGATATAATAAGTACAACAGTGAGATAGGACAAATCACGAGACTATAACAACTACACGAGTACAGAATAAACACAGAGTAAACACAGCTCAATACCAATGGTAAAATGAGGGTCTCCCAGGATACCGTCCTGTAGCCCCTTTTTCTCAACTGACCAGTGGATCTCCCGGGATACCGCCCCGTAGTCCATCATATGTGTGCATCCGAAGGATCTTAACATCACGAACCTTCCTGTCCGCGTAACTCTTCTGTCTGGACTGGGCTGTACGGAGTCTATCCTGAATCGTCTTAACCTTCTCCAATGCATCCTGTACTAACTCTGTGCCCAATAGCCTGGCCTCACCCGGCTCAAACCAACCCATCGGAACACCTCCTACCATGTAAAGCCTCATACGGCGCCATCTGAATGCTGGACTGATAACTATCGTAGTAAGCAAACTCCGCCAGTGGCAAGAAATGATCCCAAGACCCTCCAGTTCCATGACTCGATGTTTAACTCCTCATGCACCTTACCGTGCTACCACAACTCAGTTGAGCACACCAGCTCGATCAATCCTGAAGATATTTCTTGTTATTCAAGCAAATAAGCCTTAGAGCCCGATTCCAACATCCGGAATTCTATGCCCGACCTGTTTCCAACATAAGACCACCATAACATTCACTACACGCTATACCCAAACATGGTTGCATAACTTGCTGAAGTTCACACCTCGCATCACTTTACTCACCGGACCACAGTAACATTTCCTGATCGACTTAGTCAAAAATTCCACGAATCTGATGCCCTCATTGCACCCCATGACATACACAGGTCTCACTCTAACTCTTTCAATTCCGTCACAGCGGAGAGATGTGCGGAAATTCATAATCGACTGTCGAGTCAACCAATCATTGAGTCTATACTCCTGACAAGAAACATCACCTCACTTTGAACCAATTAATGATCTTTGCCTCTTAATATATTTCACGTAATCAGATTGCACTGATCCTAAATCCAACAATCTCGTCTCACCCAGTACGAATGCTCAGACAATAAGCCACCCCAACATAACCAAAAGTCTCATATGATGTCACAATGCGCCAATAGGCTACCAATTAGAATGCGATACAAAAAGGAAAAAAAAAAAATGAACTCTGAAAAGAAATTTCAATTACCCCGCTCGCGAATCATACATGCGACGCGGGTGCACAGCTAATATGAGCTTCCTCCAGAAAATAGGAAACAGAACACAATAAACGGATATGGGGAACCGTACTGAACATCACACTGTTGCGGCGTGCAACCCGTTCCGAGCAACCATAACCATGGCGGTGTGCCACCCGATCCAAATAACATACCCGTGGCGGCGTGCCACCCGATCCACACATGGAGCTCACATAAGGAGATGAACATCGAGCTAAATTGCTCACTACAACAAGATACTACACATCAGTCGTAAACATGCTAAGTGTATAACACCATTCCCTGGGGAGACATATAACGCTATAATCCACAAACTCGGGCACAACTGGGGTGCGATACAAGATCTGAATCTCGAGAGCCATTCTGCTCATATAACATCATCGACACACGGAACTTCAACACATAAGAATTTACCAAGCCGTCTCATAACTCATACGGCGCAATACATCATGACCTGGAATAGCTGATGACAAAATAACACCCCGACTGTTCCTCCATAAGGAACGCTCGCTGAAACGAACACAACTGGCCTGATATAAAGCCCTGTTCACATATAAATCAATCCACTGATTTCAAACCGATTTCTGATTGCACCAACTAGGCTAGTAACCTTTCAAAGGCCCATAGTAACTCCCTTTTCCCCATAACACATAAGGACAACCGTCATAACCGGAGCAACCTCCTCGGTCCACAACCCAACAAACAGAGTGCCCTCCCGGCATAAATTCTCAAATTAATATTGTTACCACAATCCTCATACTTGGTTTAAATCTTTAATCAATCAAGTGACTACATGGCACACTTATACAATCTTCCCGTGGGACACACTCCCACAATCTTTTCGGAATGAATAACGGGTTCGCATTTTTAAACCATCGGCCGCACTAACGCTGAAAAGCGATCAAGAATCCTTAACCAGGATGCAAAGCCTCTTTCACAACACATCGATCTCAGGTGACGCTGAAGACAATACCAATTTACTTTAAACATCCCACCCTTTGTTCTTGCTCATCCGAGCTCATGACATCTCTGTCCACACCGAGCTGTTACTTGATCTTTACTTCGAATCCCATACCACTCACTGCACCTAACATGCCACATATTTCATCATAGCTTCGGAACCGCAAATAGGCTAACACTTCATCACTTAAAAGCTTTTCACTTAACTCACTTCAGGAGAACTATAGAAACCCTTAGGTGAATTCTCATAACCGTAGAATATGCAAACCTCCAAGTAGTGGCCTGAACACACTGTGCATCAAGTGCATGAAAGCTGCAGGGGCATTGGTCAGCCCAAATGACATAACGAGGAACTCGTAATGACCGTATCGAGTCCTAAAGGCGGCATGCCCGGAGGATCAGTTGGAAATACGTCGGGAAAATCCCGTACCACTGGAACAGAATCAACAGAAGGGGTATCAATACTAACATCTCTCGCATAAGCCAAATACGTGGCACACCCCTTCTCCACCATGCGCTGAGCTTTAAGAAAAGAGATAACTCTACTGGGAGTGTGATCTAAAGTACCACTCCACAAGACATGCGGAATACCTGGCACAGCCAGCATCACGGTCTTGGCGTGACAATCAAGAATAGCAAAATGGGGCGACAACCAATCCATGCCCAGAATAATGTCGAAATCCACCATATCGAATAACAATAAATCCGCTCTGGTCTCAAAACCACGAATAGTAACCAAATATGACCGATAAACGCGGTCCACAACAAAAGAATCTCCCACAGGAGTAGAAACATGAACAGAGAAACTCAAGGAAATTCCGAGGTACACCCAAATGCGGAGTAAAGTAAGAAGACACATAAGAGTAAGCAGGGCCTAATCGAATAGAACCGATACACTTCTATAACAAACCATGACAATACCTGTGATAACAGAATCGGAGGCAACAACCTCGGTATGGGCAGGTGGGGTAGCCACTGGGGCTGTGATCATGGCCTGAGAACTCTGAGGAGCACGCTGCGGCTGAGCAGCCTGTGGAGGTGCACTCCTCCCAAGTCTAGAGAAATACCTCACCACATGGCGTATGTCACCACACTCAAAGCAACCTCG